CTTCAGCTCTGGCCTAAGGGTCCCTCTCACTTTTTCCTTCTGTCCGATTTGGGTTCTCAGCTCCTCCATCCTTGCGTCTGTAACTGCTTCTTCCCTGCGCTACCCTGCATTTGGGATGGTCTGCAACACATTTTCCAATCAGTCACAATAGCACATGACCGTAAAAAAAAAAAAAAAAAAAATCAGGCTTAGCTTCAACACGCAGTGACGCTCCCCATCTGCCTGGCAGCGTTTGTGCTTAGTGGGTGTCCAACTCCTCGCCCCTCTCCCTGGAGAACAGGCCTGTCACTGCTGTGCTACTCGGCCTCCGTCACCCGGGAACGCCAGGCTCCCGAGGTCTCTTCCAAACATGGCCGCGCGCTGCGATGGAGCTGGGCTGCTGGGCCTGCCCTTCATTATACTTTTTGACAAAGTTAAGCTCTATGCTTCATTTCTCACAAACGGAGTTTGACTGTAGACAGCAGTCAGCAAGTAAATCTACCCTTTGCCATGGCAAAAGGCCCAACTTTAATATTTTTACTGGCTTACTGCTGGGGAAATTAAGCCCCAGATTTTTTATTTATTTATTTTTTAATACCGTGCAACTGAAAATGAACAGCTACTTCACTGCCGCTGCCAATGACAACCTTAAAAAACACTAATGCAATCCAGTCGAGCTCTCGGTAGATCTATAAAGGCTGGAGGACCAAAAAATTTAGCTTATCCACCCAAGCAAAATGTTGGTTGGGCAGGGTATCTAGTATTTTATTAAGATGCTTTTTTTTTTTCCCCCTCCCCAAATCCATGCACTGGCAAAATGAAGAGGGTGACGTGCCGAGATGCAGCACTGCGATAAGGAAAAATCAAAAAAAAGTTCCGTGTGGCACTCACCCAAGCCTTCTCAGCAGTTCAGGGTCAGGGACTTGCGGGCCAAACATCTCTACTTGCAAAGGCTGATACTCGTACAGCGCTTCCTCCAGCTTCTGAATGGGTGCTAACGAGATATGCTGACCCTGTTGAAAAGGAAAAGCAATTCATTTCTAAATGTTGTCTTTATTTTCTTTTTTTTCCTTTTGGCTCCTCCAAACAGGTTGGGAGGATAAGTTTACGCTATAAAGTTGGCCTGAACATCACATTAAGAACAATGCTGTCCATTACTACAGCCATTTCCTGATGGTAATTTGAATTCTTTACTGGGACCTACAGTATGGAACTAATGTTTCATATCGTTTTAATGCTTTGGGGAGGGGGAAGTGGGAGGGATGAGCTTTACTGAAGTCAGACTTACCGTTAAAAGGAGTGCAGCTGCCTCCAGTGTCACTGGTGAAATTATTATTAGGTAAAAATTTCATTTATCAGAAGTAATATCAAACAAATGTCTCTGAGCAAGCCTATTAGATTTTGTAATCAATGGTTTCCTGAAAGCCCTAATTAGAAAGGGAAGTTACTTTAATTTCTCTCTGCAGGGCTTTGTAAGCTACCATATATAATGGCTCTCATGACGGACTTTTACAATGGAATACAATTAATTCATTCAGCAAATTCCCATTTGTTCTATAACTAAAATATAGAAACACACAAACATGAAATTTTAATTCCAGATGGTACTTCTGCGAGCCCTTCAGAGCACGGAGAAATGGCTAGCATTCTTTTGAACCTTCCTAGCACTCCAACCTCTCGCAAAACAGGAGATTTGGTGCTGGGAGGAAGGGGTCAAGGAGGATCCGAGATAAAGCCAAGTGAGCAGATGTTGCTGCGTGACATTCTGCACTGATTTGTTGATCTTTCACACAGTTTCAATTTTCTACTTTATTCTATGGTGCTGACAAATTACCAACAGCAAAACAGAGAGTGCTCTGATCCCCACGATCAGCCTGGGCTCCCTAAAGGGATTCCACTTCACATTTGCAAAATGCAGGAATCCAGGAAAGGAATATTATTGCATTTGCATTCACTTTGCCTGCAAGAGGAACCTCAATCCTTACACGGGGTAAAGCTATAGGTAGTCCTGACATCCACTGGTGAACTTCACTCAGTGGTGTCAACGGGGTTACTATGCAAGTAACCCCTGGAAGAAGAGGCTCATTATCTATCCCACTGTATTAAAATTAACTAAGGAAAGAGTTTGGGGGTAAAAGGGGGTTGGTTACAAATCAGATGTGTGCAGTCCAGACGCAGCGGCCTCCCTGTATTAGTACCTTGGAAGCTCTTGTTCAAAGGTGCAAAAGGCAGATAAGGCAGACAAGGTCCTTTGGGTGAATCTGATATCTTTTATTAGACCAACTAATTCCCAAATAGTTGGGGAAAAAAAATTTTTAGGCAAGCTTTTGGGTTCAAAAACCCTTTGTCAGGCTGAGGAAGTTTCAGCAGTTGGTGTGTGCTGAAAGGCAGATAAGAACATTTGAAGACAAGGTCTTGAGAAAAGTTATCATCAAACCAGAAAACTAGGTCAGACAGGGATTCCCAGTTTGGAAATTTTGGTGAAGACATTCCCAGTTTGGTTAAGATCTGGGCAGATGTAGGAGAAGCTGAAGTTTTCTACAGCAAATAGATTGCACATGTGATGCGAATGGACAACTTAAGATTTCCTTCTTTCTGCGCTGCGCTGCGCGACAGCTTGAGGGATTGCTATGAACTCTGTAAAGGCAAACCTGCTGCATGGCCCATACACTTGGAAGGAGAATTTACTGTGAGAAAGTTCGGAAGTGAGCCATAAGTCAGTGTAGTTTTCATAGCTAGGACGTATCATTTCTATGTCGCAAATGCTCTTAATGCAATTTTACAAAAAAACCAAAACAAAACAAAAAGCACGCCATGGGGAAAGCAGAAGAAAAGCTAAAAGCCCAATTTTAACTCTGTGCTCAGTGATATCTTAAGGTATAAATGCAGCGGCTCATAGCAGTAGTCAGTTAATACAATTGCATTCAAGTGCTCTGAACTTTTAAATACTTTAACTTGTTCTGGTCAAATAACACCTCTAACAGATTATACACTTGGAAAAAAGTTAGGTTTAAAAGTTGAACCATTTTTTCCACTTACCTAATGAAGCCAGAGGGAAAGACATATTTAATATTTTACATACATAAAACTCAAACCCCTTTTACATACGTACGTACACACACACTCTGGGGGTAAATATCTTCCATTTTCACTCCCTCTCTCAACTTAAACCTCAAAAAAGAAAATTTGCTTTCGGACGTGTCGGCATTGCTTTCGGACAAAGGTCAACCATGATAAATATTTTGGGATGTTACTCGCATGTGAAAGGGGGGTAGCTCAGATTGCGGGACACAGTCTGGGGCCACATCTCAGGAAAGCATCATTGCAACAGCTGTCCTTTGTTAGGAAGGTTGCCATTGGTATATTCCTAACACATTTTACAAGGGCTAATTGTACTAGGATTGGCTAATGGAGGAGGTGGAGGCACAAACAAAAGGGCAGTGTTAGGCGAAAGAAGGCATCTTTCTCCTCCACCCACCCTGCTGCTGCCAAAGCCCATCTCCTTCATCCTTTGGCTTTATTGTGAACAGGGGATACAAATGCCTTGTCATTCCTTCTCCACGGGGTTCCTGAAATTTCAGAGGCAGAGCTCTTTATGATCTCCTAGTCTGAGCTCTTGCAGAAAACAGGCCAGAATTTACCAAGCAACTCCTGTACGACGCCCAATTCTTCACTATGGAGCTCAAACAGCTCTATCAGAAATGCATCAGTCTCAAGATTTAAAGACTTTGGATGAAAGAAGTCCTGTTTCATCCCTAGGTAAGTCGTTACGATGGTGGGTTATTCTCATCACGGGAATTTTGGGCCTCATTTCTGGTTTCTGTCAAGATTCAGGTTCGATTTCTGGCTCCTCGGTATGTCCGCTTATGCTACCCAGTAAGGTAGTTTGGAGGTGGAGGGGGCTGTGATCGTAGTCATTGGGAACCGGCAGGTATTTCATAGATTCATTCATAGATTTCTGTGTACGGAACTAATTCCACAGCTTTGCAATGGGCGGACACGCCGAAATGCCGAGGCAACTGCGTAGCTGTACGAGTTCATTTGCTTTCGCTTCCTCGGTTCATGAGGTTAGATGGTGGGCTTTGGCAGCCTGGGCGGGTTTCAGCTCAGTTGGAATAAAAATAAAAAGAGAGGATTGACTGGTGCTCCTGCCCCTCAGCTGTTTGGAGCCTGAGTAATGCCCCTGTCCTGCAAATGGTATGCTAAGAGCCTAACTTGGGAAGGGGTTTGATTGGCAGGGAAAAAAGTCTGATGACTCTAACCCTGGTAGCACCAAGCTCATTACCCAGCTTCTTGGGTGGCTTTTGCAGCACTCAGCGAACTCCCTGCTACTGCAGCCAGACTCTTGCTAGTACCTGAGCTAGCTCGCTCAGAGTTAGCTTGGCTATTTCTACACTACACAGGAGTCACTAAAAAAAAGGGTATAGGGGAGGTCTTTTTTAGATTAGGACTGGCACTGCCTTCTCCCTCTCCGCTAGCCAGGAAAAGCTGCATTTATAAACATACCTGCTTGAACTTCAGCGTTTAATAAAGCAGTAGTCACTTCACCAACGTGATCTCGATCTTGTCTCGATTTGCCATGCCATTCCCCCAAAAAAACCCAGTTAAAATACAAACCAGTGTGCAACTTTAGAGAGACTGCTGGAGGCATCCACTATTGCTTGGGGTTTATACAGTGCCTTACAGATCCAGAAACGTTTTATACCTCTGAGAAGTAACATTTTTAAATGTCTTGCATTCTTTCTAGAGGACAGGCCTGTTTGCTTAAGCTGAAGAAGTTTATGACTAGGCTCAAACCAGAATGAAGGCAGTGAGCTCTAAGCTTCAGCTCTTGCACGGCTTTATCCTGACAGATCAAGAATTTGATTTTGTGGTCATGGGTAAGTATTTCTAATTCCCCTTGGTTGCTGTAATGTTTGCACAGAAGAAGCTGACAGTATCCAAATGGTGAAAGAAATGGCTTCCAAGAACAGACGCAATAGATTTTTCTACCTCCTCTATGCTCTCCTCCATCCTTGGGGCATTTGAGTTTTTCTCATGGTTTATGGAACCACAAAAACACTGTTAATTTGAAGGATAAAAAAAAAAAAAAATCTGAATTCAGCTATATACAGTGCAGCAAGGGATTCACGTAGCTGATTTTCCTTTCAGACACAGCATGTTTTAGGTGAGAACAAGATGGGGTTAAATAGGGATTTTCAAATTCATGTCTTCACCAAAATTTCAAATAAAACAGAGTTAATCGGATTTACTTTTCAGTGCATTAAGTGATGCCTCTGCTTAACGCATCTTACTCGGTTTGCAGAGAGGGGAAAGAAAAAAGAAAAGTCCACCTCTTCTGGTTTCTTATAACACTAACACCATGGTTCATTGAGCAGGTTATATACTCATGCACGGTAAGAGGAATTCTAAGGGCTTATTTGTAACAAAATCTAACCCCTCGAACCAACAAGACCTACCAAGGTCTCTTAGCCGATCTTCAACACAAGTCAAATGACAGAAGTCAGGGCATTTGGGTCACTACGAATCGTCTGGACAATGCACGTGGAGGCATTAGCAAATGGCTGGACTAGATGATGCTACAGCATCATCTCATTCTTCCCTTACTCTCTGTCTAGGTACTAACACGGCCCCTTTTGGGCCATATCACCCGAGCAAACCCACATATTTAAACACAGAAATAAGAAACTCAGAATCTGTGCACCAAGCCTTCCCCATCAGCCTGGGGAACTCTTGCTTAAGTAAATTCCATTTTTGCCAAGAAGTCATTCTCCCGTAAAATAATCGGGTATAGAAGAACTGACTGTTAATCGAAAACTAAGGAATCTGAAATGTTGGACTATTACTACTTACAGCAAGTTTGCAGCTACAGATCAATATTCAGAGCCCCACTGCGCATGAATTGCCAAAGTTAAAAAAAAAAAAGAAAGAAAAAAAAAAGAGAGAGAAAATCTCTTTTTACTGCATTGTTACACATTCGAGTAACTGGAATTACTCAACTGCTACAAGACAA